GCAGGCACAGCACGCGAGCACCGCATCGATTTGCCCCGCGCCGCGCCCCGCCCCGCCCCGCCCCGCCGCGCCTGGGGCAAGGAGCTTTGGCAGCGCGTGTCGTGGCGGCGGACGCCCCACCCCACCGGCAACACACAATGTATAACAACGGGGCCAAATGCAAAATCGCACCTCTATCACATTGCCGAAGCCCGCACGGCTTCTCTCTGTCTCTCCATGCCATATCTACCTCCCCCCCTTTTCTCTCTCCCCACCCCACCACCCAAGCAGCCAACACACACACACGACTAGTGACAGTAACAAGCAGCTCGTTGACACAGCGCGTGGCCCGCAGCAATCGTCTTCGTAACTTTATTAGCCCCATTGATGTGTGTATCAGCCGCACAAGTGTGTGCGCACACACACACGCGCACGCACAGTGATTGAGGGAGAAAGCGCGGCCGCGACGTTCCTCACTGCTCATCCCCCTAGGCTGCCTATGGAGCCCTATAAGTACTGGGTATAGGACTCTGCCCGACGCCCTGCTTGCCTCGCCCGTACGCACAACCGTTCCGTCCGCCCGTTCTCCGCTCCAATGCGTCGGACAGGCGTTGAACGGACGCGAAACGAAATTCAGCTTGATGGAGGGTACTCGACGCGATTGGGCTGCACGGCGGCGGCGGCTGCGTGGGGGTGAGCGGCGCAGGGCGGCGTGGGGGCGGCGCAGGGGTGGCGCACTCAGCCCTATGCCCCGCGCCGCCATCGATCCAAAGAGCAGAAGCGGATTGTGTCGGGAACCGAAAAGGTAGCAGAGTGTGAGCAAGTGGCTCCCACTTGTACCCGCCCGCGAGGGTAGGAACCGGGTTGACGGGTGGACCCGGGTCCCCGGGTTCGCCTGCTCTGGTAATACTCGGCTAACGGCCGGCCGGGTTGCTCCGCGCCTGGGAGGTAGACCAGGCAGAACGACAGAACGACATACCTGTAGATGCATTGCCTACCTTCCCAGGCGCGCGGTTCTCACCAATTTCCCCCGGGTGTGTGATCATCCCCTATGGGAGTACGTCCCTTCTCGCACGTTTCACCTCCACAAACAAACGCCGCTGTATAAGACAATGAGCAACACAGCGTATACCCTAATTGTGAAACGTAAATGTAAACCCGCAAAGAACCATTTCAATAAAAACTGAACTTCCCCCGGGGTATGTTACTACCTATGTTACCAGGGTACCCGCGGGTCGGGTCCAGGAGAGCCCATCTCCCTGGCGCCACCCATCCGCAGCAGCCCAGGAAGCAGCCCAGGGCACGACAATGGGTCGCTGCCAGCGACAGCCGTCTCCGAAGAACATTGTCCGCACGGCTGCCATTCATTGCCTACCGGCCACTGCCTGGCCGGCTGGCTGTTCGTCGGCGCGTGCTGCGCTGAGCGGTCATTGTCCCCCCCAGGAGTCTCCCTCCGGATGCCATTTCGGACGTCGCCAGCGCCTTTGGCATGGGTGGTCCGGCCCAGGTAGGGACGTCTTCCTTTACTGTCATATGAGGAAGTTGCCCGTTAAGAGGAACAAGAAGAAGGTAGCACTGAGGAGGTGGCGTGGCGTAGCGCCGTCCCTAAACAAAGCAGAAGATGAGCGACCGTCTAGCAGAGGTTAGGATGTGTGTCGTTAGATTTCAAACAGTTTAGAAGGGGCCTATGCACCCAGCACCTTGGTTTGGTACCACCTATACCAAAGCTTTTTACGACAGTTGAGTCATTATCATTGAGTTAAAATTGTACCAATGCAATATGTCCGTACACTAACCTAAACAACGACACCGGGACGGTTTAGAAGATTGTATAAACTTACTTTTCCGAAGCCAAACTTTACAGAAGCACTTTTTGACACAAGATTGTTACGCCGGTCTAGTATGGATCCAATTTTTCTTTAGAAATTCAACAAAACTTGATTTATGAGCACACATGTGGATGCATCCACTTGCGACAAAACACAGTATGGTCGCACGCGTTCTGCTTGGTTTAGGGACGGCGCTACGCCACGCCACCTCCTCAGCGCTACCTTCTTTTTGTTCCTCTTATCGGGCAACTTCCTCATACCTGCACCAGCCAGCGCACCAGCACACCCCTCTGTCTCTCTCTCTCTTTATGGCACACGCACACACCACACCCACACGTGCGCGAGCAGAGAGAGTGAGAGAGAGCAGTAGAGCTGCCCCGTCATGCGCGATACACTTGATTGATCCGTTCCTGTAATGGGTCCGGTCGCGTCCAGCCGATGAATTCATTCAGTCGGACAGCTGACGCAGCTGACGCCCGCCCGCGCTGACACGGTCAGCCAGCGCCAGCAGCGAGGCTGACGCAGCGCGGCCGCGACTCGCGCTTTGGTGGTGGTGGTGGTGGTGGGCCAGCGGATGTCCAGCTCCAAT